TTGAACCCATCTTACTCAGTGTCTCCCCAACCCCAAGGACAGTCCCATTCTACAACAGTGGCATCATGTAATATTTGTCCTTTTGTGACTAGCTTCCACGCTCTTAATGAGATGCTTTCTGGTTCCGATATTCCATTTATGTCAGAGGTAACTTGGAAGTCTCTTTAAGAATATCTTTGTTCTAAGCTGTACTAGAAAAATGTCTGGGAACTACTAAAAGACAGAGGGGAGGGTCTGAGTTTATTTAACACCCTGGAAAGCACTAATTGCCCGAAGACTAGACACATACTATTTGGTTGAATCATAGTATTAACTTTACCTGATCTCTAAAAGGTGAAAGGCAAAGTTGTGTGTGAAGGATAGAGGAAGGCCAAGTCTCCACACCAGTCCAAAGTCATCTAGCACCTGCAGATATTGGGAGATAATGCAGAGAAAGAATGTGTCTAATCATTTTGGGTACTGGTCCTCCAAAAGAAAGTTATAGAGATAGATTGACTCTAGTAAGTCTAGTCGGACTAGCTGTGGGAATTAAAGTTATAACTACTTTTTTTTTCTTTCTTCCAGCCTCTCACAAGTGGACTTTATTACTATTATATCATGGAATTGGCCTTCTATTGGTCTCTTATGTTTTCTCAGTTTACAGACATTAGAAGAAAGGTAAGGACATTGGTTCCCTTAACTCCCTAGTTAATTGCATCTTTCTTTCCAGTAACTACTTTTATGATAGGTTCTCCATCCTGATTCAAACTACAAAAAAAGAGAAAATAGGCTTGCTGCTTTTTGTAATGTTCTTAAAAATGACATTAGATAAAGTACATTTGAGACATTGAGAGGAGTACAGAGAGAAAACCATCTGCCAGCTAAGAAGCATCCCCTTATTACTTATTCTTATCCAGAGTTCTTAATGTCTAAGCTTCTGGAAAACAGTCAGAACTTGGGACAACAAGACCTGACTTGGGAAATGATCTGATTCCAGGAAAGCTAAATCTGGCCTTATTTGACATTTGGAACCCTTGCTCTGTTCTCTCTTCTTAGTGGTCTTCTCAAGATTGTCAGTTTTAAGAGTTTTAGTTATTTAATTTCTTTTCTTCCAGCTCTTATTTAGGAAACAGATTCAGAGAAATTAATTGACCTACCCACATGTTCACAGAGGTAGTTATGAAATATAACCAGAAAAGAAAGCGTAGAATCATCACCTTTTCTTTGGTGTGCACTTACACAGTGTGGTTCCAACAGCTTTAACCTTGATCTCTTGTTGAATTTGTGGTTTTCTTTGGTAAGGAAAACCCACATTAGCATTTATGGAAATGGATTAAAATGAATCTTGAGTCATTAGTTGTTGTTTAACCTAGAAAAATACTACTTCAACCAGAAGCTCTGCTGGAGAAGGAGGGGCAATCTTCTCCTGTACCAGTCAGATCCGATTTGACGGTACACATAAAAAATAATAAAATAAAATAAATTTTAAAAAACTACTACTTCAGATGCCTTTCTCCCTTTTATAGGTCCCTCACGTGGTAACATTTTATACCATTTTTAGTATATGTTTTTTATAAAACAACAATTGAATGTTTGTCTGTGAACCCATCACCCAACTTAAGAATAAGACCACATTTGTATCTATATGGAAAGCTCAGACTTTTCACCTTTGTGTCTTTGGCCCATATTTTCCTGCTTTCTTCCCACCCTCCATTTCCCAATGTACTGAAAAACATTATGTTTGATAACTCAGGTAAAGATTTCTTCAGGTCTAACCTTGGTATTTGAATCCATTGTATAGACTATTTAGCTAATACACATTTCTTTTGAAACTTTTTTAGTAAGTTTTCTCTTTGCCCCTCAATAAATCTCTTCTTTCTATCCCTTTGAAATTTCTTTAATCAAGAAAAAACATTTTAACAATATATAAGACTAGTGTGTTTCACCGCCCCATGGAAAATTATTCGCAAATTGCAGCTCAACATCCACACTCTACATAGCTTGTAATTACAAAAGAAAATTGTTCTATATCATCTTGGACTCTGTGTCATTGCTCTGTAGGAAGTGTTGGTTAAATTCTAGGCAGTTCTTATAAGGGAGAGGAAAATAAGCAGAAAAGTATTTCTAAGAAATGGTATATGATCACTAGAGAACATTGGGTTGGCTTATATCTCTCTAAACTTGCCTTTGCCTGTTTGTTTGATTTCCATTTCTTACTAGGACTTCTTGATCATGTTTGTGCATCACTTGGCCACCATTGGGCTCATCACTTTCTCCTACATCAACAACATGGTTCGAGTGGGAACTCTTGTCATGTGTCTACATGATGCCTCAGACTTCTTACTAGAGGTGAGACACAGCCCTTTATTTCTCTTCCTCTCCTTTCCTTCCTATGTGAGAACTGACATTCACTCTCACTTCTTATATCCCCTTCTCCAGGCTGCCAAGCTGGCCAATTATGCCAAGTATCAGAGGCTCTGTGACACACTTTTTGTGATCTTCAGTGCTGTGTTTGTAGTCACTCGTCTAGGAATCTATCCATTCTGGTAAGTGCCAGGGCTGCTGAACTGTACTGAGTGTGTAGCTAATGATTCCTTCTGGCAGTGTAGGGAAAAGAACTCCAAGGACCTCAGCTGTCTTGAACATTTTTTCTCCCAAGCTTATGATCCAGACTCACCCAACCCATTAGCCTTCTAGCTTTTCTGACACCCCTTGGAGGAACAGCCCTCCTTTTATACCAGAGCATTTCTTTTGCCTGCCTTTGTACTGATCACAAAATTCTCAGACTCTTCTTGCTTGTGTCACTGTTCTGTACCTTCTGTCCACCTTGACCAAAATATATATCCTCACACACACCCCTCTCTTATAGTCACTGTACATGGCAGTGAGTGAGCTGGAGATTTTTTTTTAGTCTGAAGAACTATCAGCTGTATTTCTGAGGATTTGAGTAATTACTAGGATTATGATTCTGCTACTGTCCCAGTTTTGTAAAACTGCATATCCATCAGTTCCTAAGATTCATGTCTCTTTCCTTATCCTTAAAGATAGGGCACTCAGGTGGCCTAGTGGATAAGGAGTTGTGTTTCCAATGCAAAGGCAGGCAATTCAAACCCACCAACTGCTCTGAGGGAGAAAGATGGGCATTCTTCTCCTTTGTGATTTATAGCCTCTGAAAGCCCACTGGAGGGTCTGCCATGAGTTGATTCTGACTTTATGGCAATGATGTTAGTTGTGTGTTGAAAGTCAAAAATATTTATAGGCTTCCTTCCTTTATTCCTCTCTCACTATGGATTAATAACTTTGGAGTTTCAACTGATAAAGGATATGAAGGAAAACACACACAAGTTCTGCTTGTCAGGGAATTTTAATCCCTTTCTTCAAATCTAACTATTGATTTCCCTCTTCTAGGATTCTGAATACGACCCTCTTTGAGAGTTGGGAGATAATTGGGCCCTATCCTTCCTGGTGGCTCTTCAATGGCCTTCTCCTGATCCTACAGCTTCTGCATATCATCTGGTCCTACCTAATTGCACGAATTGCTTTCAAAGCCTTGATCCGAGGAAAGGTGAGGATAAAAGATGACTTCTTTCTTTGGTTTTGTGGGAAGTCAACAGACCTTCTCTCTTCATCCAGTCTGGGAAGTCTCATTTACAGAATTAGGCCAAGCAAAAAGCTTCAGGCTCCAAAGTGTTCTTTTCTGGAAGTACAGATCATTGATCTTTTGACACATAACTTAGATGGAAAAAGCAATTAGCTACAGCTTCCTGTCCCTTAGAAATGGCTGTTGTTAAAGAGCCAAGTAGTGTCAAGAGTTTTGGGATGTTTTAACCATTTCCTCACCCATACTACTTGAACAGATTTTACATTTCATTTTTAATATGGGAACTTTGTTTTAAAAGAATTCATATTCAGAACTACAAGATATAGTCTGTATAAAAGCTTAACTGTTAGGTTGACATAAGGTTGGCATGATAGTTCCATGCCCACCCCACGATGATCACATTGTGCCGTTTCACGGTATAGTTTCTATAAGGGACTAAGGAGCTGCACCACTCCATTGTTATACAAAGCAGCTGCCTAAGTGAAGTATTTTCAGATGTCCCTCTTATACCCAAAGCACAAAGAAAAGTTTCATTTTATGTTAAAAACAATATAGAGTTCTGCAAGTTCTGAAGGGCTCAGATTATTGCTTGGTTTAAGAGCTGAGGACCTCTGCTTTCAGTAATACAGAATTCCATAGAAAGAGAGAGTCTGTTAAGAGGAGGCACTGTAACGCTTGCAAAACACACACGACCTCTGTGTCATTGTTCTTTATGGCTGCAGTTGGTTTCAGAACTTGCTCAGTGTGCCTGTGCATCTTGCGGTAGCTACTGGAGATCTCTTGTTTCTCCTGCTTTTCTTTCCTGACCAGGTGACCTATCCAAGATGGATTAGACCCAGACTCTGTACTCTCCACTCTTTTCTGACCCCCTTCCTTTTCTCTGTGACTGGTGGGAGCTGGACAGTTTCATCTCTTGCATGTAAGTCTATCTGTGCTCGTAGTATTCAGTGAAGCATGTCTGTCTGAATGTGTTTCTCTTCTTTCCTGCTCTCCTTTTGTTCCCCTGTGTTTGTCTCAGAGCTTGCCTTCTCCATCACCTTGTTGACTAGATTCTTTTCATAAATTGAAGCAAGAGTTTAATCAGTTTTTTGAGCTAGCCTTACCTCAAAGGGGCTCTGGTGTCATAGTTTCTTAGTTTCTTGACCTGCTCAGAAAAAGCTGCACATCTCTGACAGTTTGAATCTACCAGCCATTCCTTCGGAGAAAAATGGGCAATCTCCTCACATTAAGATTTACAGCTTCAGAAACCCAATAGAAGGTCCCCAGGGGGTCCCTGTGAATCTCCAGAACAACTCATTGGCAGTGAGTTTTTCTTCAGCTACAGAGATACTGCCCTCTGGTGGATATTTCTTGCAGATCACATATTCAGGTATCAGGATTGAGACGTCAACAGCTATCAATCTTTGAGCTAACCCAAAGTAGATGTTCCCTTGTTTGGCAACAGCAGTTGTAGCTTTTTTACCTTCTCATGCTCTTCTCTGCTCCTTCCACAACTGTGTTAGAAAATGTAGACTATTGTACTTCATATGCAGAATAGTTTGAATTGGGATTGAATTAACTCCTCTAAAAAATTGAAGTTAAGAAGTCAAGATTGACAGATGGTAGCATGATTGGAACTAGGATTCTTTTCCCATTGATTGCTTATTCCCTTTTCACTATATTGTATATTTTGGGGATACTGAAAGTGAATGAAAGAAATGAGCTTCCTGAGGGGAAAGGTGAGAGCATTGGAGAAAGAATGTCATAGGCTAGTGATAATTGAGTACAAGAATAGTAGAGCTGTTGGAAGAGGCCCAGAATCAGATCAACTTTGCTTTGGTGTAAAACAGAGTTGAGGAAAACCAGTATGAAAAGCTGCAGTGGCAGCAATAACCAGAGGAAAGAAGCAATATGTCTTTTGTGTTAACCTTTTTTATTCTTTGGTGGTAGCAAAGCATACATGGAGTTTCACTGAAAATGAAACCAAAAACTCAGTGATTTCAGTTCTCTTAGGCTGGTCCTGAAGGAGACACCCCCACCTACAAAGCAGCTTCTTTTCCATAGAAAATAAATTTAGAGATGACCAAAAAAAATACAAAACACTGAAGTGAGAGGACAGAAGTTCAGGGCAGTACTAATGATTCAGATAATACTTTGAATCAGGCATCACCAGAAAGTAGTCCAGGTCAGGAATGGGACCCAAATACAGGCTGTGTAAGTTCAGTCCAACTACTAAGTCTTCAGAAAAATCCTAATTTCTGTTGTCCTCACCTTTTCTGCCTTTGGCCCCAATCTCCCTAGGTTTCTAAGGATGATCGCAGTGATGTGGAGAGCAGTTCAGAAGAAGATGATGATGTGACCACCAACACAAAAGGCCCCTGTGGTAGCAGCTCCAGCAATGGTGCCAGTCGGGTAAACGGTCACATGGGAGGCAACTACTGGGCTGAAGAGTAAGATGGTTGGTATGGCAACTTGAACACACATGGACTTGTTGTAGGGCCACTGGCAACCTACTCTTCTTGGGCCTCCCACATTCTCCCACATTTACACTCCTGTGAGTAGAGAAACTGCAAGGCACTGAGGAGAATCAAGCAAATATTTTCACTTTTTAAGAAAACTCTGCCATTTTGTATTTAATAGCGTCCAGGTCCTTTCAATAATGTTATTTGCTCTGTGTGTGTGTGTATGTGTGTGTTTCTGTGTATGTGTGTGCACATGTGCATTTATGCATACGTATGAAGTTTGTTGCCTGGGTAGGCCACACTTCTAGACTGAGCCTACTGGATCTTGTCTGGCCCCCTTATCCCTGCCTCAATCTCAGATTTGGCTGCATCTGAATTATGCTGGCTCTGGGCTACCCTCCCCCTTACTGCCCATGGCTCTTGAGGCTCTGAGTCACTGGACTGTCTGAACGGTGCAGCCCAGTTCAACTCCAGACTTCTGCACTCTTTCCACATTGGAACTGGAGCACTTCACCTCATGAAGTTGTTTAGAATCAGAGAACCATGGTGGATGACCAAGACTGCTGTGTCCCCTACCTGGACCCCCTTCCTATCATCTGGTATTAATAGGGGCAGCTGATGAAACGCCACTCCTTTATTCAATGGTACACAGGGAGGGAGGTGAGAGATGGTGAACTAAGAGCAGGGGAAAAACAACAGCCACTGGGTGAGCTGTTAACAGTTGATACTGTTGTTTACTCTTCTATGATTAAAAGTGCTTCAACCTCCTCTACTGTCTGAGACTTTTTTTTAAAATAAAATTTTTAATTGTGATCTTAATGAAAGTTTACAGAAAAGTTAGATTTTCATTCATTCATTGTTGAAAATACTGTCTCAAACTCTTTAGTGGTTCAATTCCCTGAATCCATATGCTAATTAAGAGCCTTTTTAAGAGATCCTGATTTTAGAGGCCCTTTGGGTTCATAGTAGCAAGAGTCAGCTAGAATACCAACATTTTAGGGCTTTTGTCTTTGTTGGGTTTGGTTTGGTTTGGTTTTTAAAGAGAAAATCACTTTTTTCCCTTTTTTGTTTGTTTGTTTTATTTAAATTTATTATTGATTTCAGTAAAAATTTACAGAGACTGGATTTCCATTCATTCATTCCTGCACTTTTCTCCCCTTCCAAGCCTCCCCTCTAGTACACTACACTCTTGGAAAAGTAGAAGAAAAATTCTTTCATTGTTTTACAAACCCTCCCCCAGGTCCATTCCACCATGTAGACTTCACTCAAGACTCCTGTCATGACAAAAATACCTAATCACATATCCCTTTTAAACAGTTTTCTCCCTCTACTGTTTCAGTACAGTATACATTATTGAACCCATCTTTCTCAGTCTCCCCACAGCCCCAAGGTCAATCCTGTTTTACAACAGTGGCATCATGCAGTATTTGTCCTTTTGTGACTGAGATACTTCACTCAGCATAATGTCCTCCAGAGTCACCAATTTTGAATAATATTGAATGAGTTCCTTGTTTTTCAAAGCAGCACAGTATTCCATTGTGTGAATATAC